ATACACAAGGTTCTGATTGCTCACATTTGGTGCTTTGGCTTTGCAAAGTGAACTGACACAGTGACCTGTCACAAGGTCTCATTCAAAAGGCTCCCTAGCTTTCCTTATCCAGAGAGAAACTACCACACTGACATCTACAACAGTCAAGCTGCCTCTTTCTGAATCGTAAGAGATGTTTTCATGTCTAGATCTGTTTATCCATCATCCCAACTGCCACAAATTGTACCTCAAGTTTTAAAATATAGCACTCTTTAATCTGCATGAAAGTATTCTCCCAGGCCACATATTTAGAAGTTGGCTTTTTTTGTATGTTTTGTGGTACTGGAGGCTGAACTTAGACCCTCACAGCATGCCAGGAAAGCATTTGGTCACTGAACTACATCACCAACCCCAGAGGTTAGATATACTTTTTAATCAAGAGGTCAATCTAGATTTTTTCTTAATTAATCTCACAAATTTTACATATATGTGATCTCTACAATGCATAATCCCTTACTTGTTAGCTTTATCAACTGATCTCTAGAAATCACAGAAAAAGATTTGATAAAGCAACATTTAGTATTGTGAAACTGTCCTCATGAACTGCTAGTGGGAATACAAACTGCCGTAGCCACTGTGGAAATCAGTGTGAAATTTCCTCCAAAAACTAGAAATGGACCTGCTATGTGACCTAGCTCTACCACTGCTGTGTATACATGCAAAGAATTCTATTTTCTACCACAGGATACACACTCATCCATGTTCAGAACTGCTGTATTCATTACATTTGGGATGTGTAAGCCCACTGACCAATGAATGAACAAGTAAATGCAGTTCCTATATAAATAACATTTTCTTTAACTGCAAAGAAAAATAAAAATTTGAAATTTGCAGGTAAATGGGTGGAACTGTAAAACGTTAGACTCGGCACACTGAGTCTTTAGAGTTGTGTGTCTAATTGGAGCACTCATAGAGTTCAGAAAATTAGAAAAAGAACACTTGTGGGGAGGGGAAGGAAAGACCTTCAGGGAGGGGGGATAGCAGAATCCAGATGATATGTGGGGGATGGGGAAGGAAGTTTAGGTTAGGAGAGAGATGGGAAGATAGGGCAGAGGAGGGAGTGGAGAGAAGAATATCAATGATGTTAAGAAAAGACATAAGAAAGCCTACTATTTGACAAGCTTCCGTCCTGTGTGTGTGTGTGTGTGTGTGTGTGTGTGTGTGTGTGTGTGTGTACACATGCAGGTGTACACTCATATAAAAGAGTTTAGTTGAATTTTCCTACATGGGGTGGGGGTTTATATTCATCCCAGAACCATAGGTTATCTAATAAAAAGCCTGGCACCAAATGTGGAATTACTGAGTTATTAGTCCAGGGTGTCCCAGAGACCCCAAAACCATACAACCTGTTTCCATTACCCATGGCTTGTCCACCAGATCTTTATGGTAAGATCCTATTGCTTACATACAATGGTCACAGGACATTGAAAAGCTAGACTGGTACTAGTCAGATTTCACAGTGGTGGAGACTGCTGATAGGGACAAGATCTCCATCTTACTTAGTTGTGGACCCTGTGAGCTACAGTAATGATTAACATGGCAAGATATGCCCATGAATGCATACTGGCATGAACGTCATGGGGACAACCAAACTCTTTGTGATTAGAGTTAAGGCCCATTCCACAGGGTGAAACATGCGTGCCTGGTGCGTTATAAAGGACTCTGTCTTGGTTTGCCTTTCGTTGCTTCAACAGAACACCAAAGATTGGGTTATTTATGAAGAAAAGATGTTTATTTTGGCTCCTAGTTCTGGGAACTGGAAAGTCCAAGAGAGAGTGGTTGCGTCTGGTAACAAGTTTGGACGGCTTCAACGTGGTGGGAAGCCGGCGCATTGACAGCAGCTTGTGAACACAGAGAAAGCAATGCCACTTCTCAGCAAATCGCTTTTGTGATAATGATCTAACCCCACCATGGATAGACCTCTCAATAGAAAAGAACCAGTCTGCTCGTGAGGGTTCCACCTCCATGACTCAAACACTTTCAGTAAACCCACTCTCAAAACTGCCATGATAAGGTCTAAGCCCGAATTTGGTTATTAATATCCATGCTCACCAGGCAGTGGTGGTGCACACCTTTGATGCCAGCACTTGGTAGGCAGAGGCAGGCATATCTCTGCCAGTTCGAGACCAGCTTGGTCTACAAGAGCTAGTTCCAGGACAGCCTCCAAAACCACAGAGAAACCCTGCCTTGAAAAACAAAAAAACAAAAAAAAAAAGCTCAAGCCATCACTCATATACAATATGGATTAAATTCAGGAACTCATGATACTTGAATATTCCCTCTCCAAAATATGAATAATAACTGTGCACTTGGCAAAATGTTGTTCTCATACACAAAATTGAAATCAGAGTGAGGGCCACTGTAGACCCAGTCAATGAAACTAAAAGAGGCAATATTAGTGACAAAATGACAATTAAAGGCTGCTTAAATCATTACTTCCTGGTGACACTGTAAGTCAGCATCACCCCTGGAAAAATAAGTGCATGTTTAAGGCTCAATAAACAGTCCATAGTCTCTGACCAAATAGGCTCATGTATGACTCTTACTCTTGAGAAAATATCTTAAAAGAAAAGAAATTATTTGCAAGATGATGTTAAAATTGAAGTGTTGGTTACTATAAAAGAGAAACAATGGAGATTTACTTCGAATAACATATAGCTTTGTTCAAGTTAATATGTTACCCAATTTCTCTGTGAATTGTGTGTGTGTGTGTGTGTCTGTGTGTCTGTGTGTGTGTGTGTCTGTGTCTGTGTGTCTGTGTGTGTGTGTTTGTGTGTAACATGGGAGAAAATTTATCATTTATCTATTTATCCGTTTCCACCTCATCTTCCTTATTCTTAATATTCTGAACATTGGATCTCACAATGCTTTCTCATCTGAATTTTCTATCTACCCAGGCAGTTCAGTTTGCCTTTGCTCAAGAACAGTCATTGTGAAGATACCAGCCTGCGGGAAAGGCTACTGGGGACACAACATGATTTTCCAACTTCAAGACGAACGGAAGCAGAGATCCTCACATGGGAGATGCAGTGGCTGTCTCAATGCACTGACAAGTTAATTATGTGATGAAAATACATTTGCATGAATCTCCATATTTACCTAACAATCCACTGCCTCTAAGCATTTTGGAGGCAGACCATGCAGTGGTGTTCCCAGCAGACGTTTCTCCTATAGTATAAACTGAACAGTGGCCCCCTCCATGCCTTACTGGTACAAGGGGAGGGCCTCATCTATGCCATTAGCAAGCGTAATCCAAAGCAATGCCTGGATAGTTAATATAAACCATTTAGACTTTCACGCAAAATTAGATTTTTCTCTCAGAAGGGAAAATTTTTTGTTTGGTCCATGTATTTACTGAGATGTACAAGCAATGCCAGAGAATAAAAAGCAAGATAATTAATGAATTGTGTTCCCTAAACAACCCAGTACCTTAACTCCATTTCTTAGAAAGTAAGAGCAGCAGTTGAGACCATTGAAACATTGTGTTCAGTGTCAATGTTTGCCTTGCCAAGTTCACACATTTCAGGTCACTTCATGACATGTTTATTGCTCTTGACGGACAAGGACTAGAACAGGAAACTGTACCCTTGCAGCCTTCTGACTGGTCCGCCACAGCCCAGCCTGGTTTCAGCTTTGTTGAGCTCCCCACAGCGGTGGCTTAAAGACCCTCCTGCTATTAACCGCTCTCACCTCCAAGTCTCTGTAAAATTTGGACCAGCAAGTCCAGGGCAGTTAAATATACGACCAGGGTAATTAAACAGGTTACCCAGGAATATTATATGGTCTGCAAACAATTCTGTCAAATGTTCCAGAAGGTTGTGTCTTGAGGGTTGTAACTTATTTGTGAGGTTTGGGCAGGAAATGGCTAATTATGACACCTGCAGACATTTCTGCACAACTGGGCCCCAGGGAATCGCCTTGTGTGTACCAGCCAGCCTCGCCTTTCTGGTGGAGAGGCACGAAGCAGAGATTAGTGACGCAGCAGAGTCTTGTTAGCAGTACCCGTGGAGAAAGCAGCTCCACTTGCAGCATGCTGGGCGATGTCTTACCTCCGTGCATCTCCCCAGGCAGCCAACAATGCTAGCATCAAAATGAGCCCCTTTACATGAGCTCAGCCTACTACGAAATAGCTTTGTAGTGGAAACCAGAAATGTGAGCATAAATTGCTGAAATTGGCCCCTCTGAAGTATTCCTCAGCACCAACTTCTCATGAGATGGTAATTCATAGACTGGAGCAATGTTGGAAAACAAGTCCTTTGTCCTTCTGGAGCAGGAGGTCCACCAATGGTATCTGGGAACTGTCTCTAACACCATAAGCACTTCGTGTGCAAGCATGAGAACTGGAGTTCAGATCCCCAGTACCCGTGAAAAAGCCAGTGTGGTGGTGCTCTTCTGTAGCCCCAGAGACGACAGATCGCTGAGGCTCATTGTCTATCAGCCAACAAATCAGTGAGCACAAGGATCAATGAGAAATCCTGTCTCAAAAGATAGAGTAGAAAGTGACTGAGGAAGACAGGTGACACTCACCTCTGTCCTCTGCATGCACACGCATGGACACATGAACAGATACACAGGTACACAGCACACACACACACACACACACTACAGCTGGGTGGTTAGCATATGTGTCTTAAAGCAACAGGCAGTGCCTTTGTTGTCTGGTGTAAATGTTCCATCTCAGGGCAGTGGGGATGCGTTGAAGAATTTTTAAAATGGGGTTGCGTTGTGTCAGTGCCACAAGCTGTCCAGCAGGAAGCAGTCCTTGTCCTCTTCCTCAGCATGTAGCTGACCCATACCCCAGCTTCCCTCGATGATAAATACAGTCATATGACTGAAAAGAAAGATTATGCCTGCTCTGGTCAAAGTGCGTAAGAGCTGACTTCCCCTCCCACAGATCCTTCCCTTCACCAGCTCATGCTGAGGAGAACCAGGTGTGGAGGTCAGAGGAACCACATGACTGAAGGAGCTTGACTCCCAGTCACTGCACAGAAGGAAGCATTAACCTAGCAGAAAAACTGCCTCAGACTCCCTTATGGAGCAAAGAGGGGAAAAGACAGCGAATGTCTCTTCTATGGAACCATTACATGTGTTTGTGTCACTCAACTATTGTCTTAGATTAAGCTCCTGCCCCAGACTCAACAGACCAGACTAAGAAGCAGAGTAGAGTCACCGGACTAAAGTTTCACATCACCAAGCTGAAGTGAGGCTGCTTCATTGATGGAATCAGGATAAGTAAGGCACCAGCCAAGTTTCTCATACAGGTCAGTTTCAATGGACATAGTAATGACGTTGTGTCTGCTTAAAACAACAAGGGAAAAAAATCTGATGCTGGCTAGCTGGGTCTTTTCCTATGGCTTTGTCTTCCTGTTCCCATATTACAAAGTAAATTACTTTGCAAGGACCAACAGCTCTTGTTTTCCACTCCTGTTTTAATAACAATAATATTCTTTTAACTTCTGATTGCACAACTGAGCTCCTTGACTGGGACCATTGGTCCCCTTGCTGTTTACTGGGATGGGGTACTGCTGGTTACTAAAATTGATATTAAAAACCAATTAAGAGTCTTGAAATTTCTGAAATATTTGTCCTTTGATAACAACTTGTCTGATCTAAATTAACACAGACAGTGAGGGACTCCCATGTGTTGACATGGTCGTTGTGATTAGAAAAAAAAAATATCCGGCCTTCGATTGACTACAATGCTTTGGCTGTTATCATTTTTCAAAGTGCCCGACACAAACTGCCATTCCCAAAGCACCCCAAATCTTAGACAACAGCAAAGTGTTTTATTTATAGATTGGCTGCTGGGTCATCTCCTTCAGACTGGGACACAAGGGCGAAAAGTCTTCTGACACTATTTCCCTAAGTATTACATCCAATTTTCCCTTGAATATCTCAAGTCCTCATGTCTTGACAGCTTCCTGAGTGAAATTACTCTGTGGCCTGATTGACCTTCATGGTTTGAAATGTTCTTTCTCTCTGCATTAGACTGGAGGGTTTGCTTTTTTTCCCCCCTTTTCCTAGTCTCAGCAAATAACTGACCAGACCCTGGTGAATGAAGTAGATTCCTAGAGAAAACTGAGCATAAATAATTTAGATTAGCCTTTAGGAAGTACTCCTTTGCTGCAGTCTCATTTAGCCCCCTTACTAAGGGAGGGGGACATGATTTTCATTTGGCAGGCTCTGAGACTTCGAAGAACTCACCCATGAATGCATCACGAGGCAGGGAGCCACGTAGAGGCTCAGTCCTGCTGAGCCAGAAGTCCAGTCCCGATCCAATACCTTTGGCTTCTAAGGCTTAGTTAATGGGAGCGCCTGACTGCTGGCTCATGTCCAGGTTCATCAGTCGTCTCGGGGAAGTGAGTTAGGTGGAGTCTTCATCCTTGTTGAGGAAGGATTCTGTTTCAGAAAACACTGCCATTCCCTTGAAAGCGATGCATTAGAAATGTGTGCAAGGAAGAGGTTTTCAGAAGCCTCGGGTGTGAGAAACCTGGTTTCTCATGATTAATTAGTTTTCACAGGGAAAGAAGCTGTGAATCCTAGGACACTTTGTATTGCTGTTGACTGGGTCCATGCACTGAGGAGCAGGAGCTACAGGCCTGGCACCTCCTCTCCCTCTTCTCTTTTTTCCCTTTGCTTCCTTGAGAAGGAGAAAATGGTCCCTAGTCGTCCCCCCACCTCATTGCACACCCCAACTTCTGTGGTCCTTTTTTCAGTGACTTAGAGCTGGTCTCTTCCGGGAAAGGTGGAGGATCAGACCGAGGGAGAGGTCCACACATTCACCCACACTAGCCCTGATAGAAGTGCGGGTCCACCAGGGCAGACAAGCCTTGGGTCGCAGCCTGTCTGTGCCAAGCTCATCACCAGGGCTGGGTAATGAGGTCAATGTGAAAACAACTGGAAGGCACGTTCCCCAGGAAACCCAAGCAGAGTGGAAATGGCCCGACCTTATGTCACAGAATCCAAATCCATTGAGTCAATTGCCAGGAAACACGACATGACCTTTCAGAGGGAGTGAGCATCGCTCAGAGAGCAGGCTGCCCTGCTCTTTTCATTTCTCTGCTGCCCCCGAGGCAGCAAATCACTGGAAATAATAGCACAGGCTCCAAATCAGTACTCCTTTAATGAAACACGCAAGTGCGGCACGGAGCTTGACAGGGGCAGATGGGTGTGTGTGTCTGTGTGTGCATGCAGACACACGTGCATTTACATGCACTGTGTATATCTTCTACTTCTACCCTGGTACCTTTCTATCTATATAATGTTCCATGTCTCCTGTGAAATTGCTCATCCCAATAGGCATTTTGAATGGACTCTCTCATTCACCGAATATTGTACAATCAGAACACTGCCTTCACAGCCTCTTTCTGGACAGCAGTCAGGGATTTAACCTAGACTTCAGTTCACCCAGCCCCTTCCCACCCAGCACTGGACCAATCCTGAAAAGGGCCCAGTGTATCTGGGATTCTCTTTTCATGACTGTGTTCCCTCCTACCTCCTACTGTTGGTTCCAGGGATAGAACTCAGGTCTCCAGGCTTGTAAAGCAAGGACTTTTACCCACTAAGCCCTCTGGTCAACCCTTGAGAGTCTTTTCCTTTGTCTTCCTGTCATTTCTATATGCTATAAGATTCATGGCCCAAGACATCTTCATGATTTGCAATAACAGTCAAAGGGAGGGTTCCTACTTCCAAAAGAAAAAAAGTTACACATCATACTTAGGGTTCAAACCTCAGCTAGGAAGGCTTGCCTTAGAAGCACCAACTTAGCCAAGAAAACTAAGCACAAGAAAAAAATCTCAAAGTCCGTATTTGAGGAAAGTTACACCAGGGCCCACACCAATACAACAATGCCCATGGAAGACTTTGCAAAGAATTTACCCTAAATTTTCTTAATACAAGGGGTAAAAACCTTTCTCAAAGGAAGATACTTCACCCACAGGCTGAAATATATGATATTTATACATAAAGATAAAAGTCTTAGAGCAAGGGGCTGTTCAAAATGTAGTTCATACAAAACAATCTTTGTTGCTAAGGATAAATAGCATCATCATAAGCAGATTGGCTACACCCAGGTTAATTGCATGGACATTGCATACATGAACTCCTGAAAGGGCAATGGTGTGCAGTGAGTCCTCTACTAATATCCTATGCTCTACTTAAAACTTAGAATCATAAGTAGGACAGTTGGGAGGACTCCCGGGAGCTATGAAACATATTCCCCATAGATTATAAAATACTTTGAGCACTCATTAGGAAATGTAATCACTACTTTATCATATAAAGATGTTGTTCACTGTTGGAAGCTGATTTTTGTGGGTTTAATATAGCTCTAGGTCATGCTTTATGGATTGCTCTGCAAAAAATTGCATGGCTTGATGTCTCCATTAAGGTTAGCTTAGCCAGGAGAAGGTCGGGGAGCCTAGCAGGAGCATGCCCTCCTACTGAGTGAGAAGAAGATCATTATTCTTAGGACTCATCAGGAGACTTAACTTTAGAGACATTCTTGGTAGAGAAGTCCTACATGGCCCCCATGAAATTCATAGTCAGCAAGTAGTGGAAAAGTCACGAGGAACCAAAGTTGTCCTCAAAAGTGTCTTCGGTAGCTCGATGCTCATAGCAACAATAGTCCTAGCACACACTCTGTGAGGATTGACTGAGTGCTGACACTATTCTATTAAGAAGCAGGATTGCCTAGTGCTTCCCTCTTATTGGTGGAGGACACAGAATGCAGAACAAGTATGTGCACCTGAGGGTCACAAAGACACTAAGAAGCGGCACCAGGAACTTAACGCTAGAAGTCGGGTTCTGAAGCCCTCCATCTAACCCCTTGTTTATTGTCTCTCGTTGCATAGGGTTTGCTCTATATGCAAGTGTGTTTGCAGAAACATCAAGATACCGCAGAGTCTGTGGGGGTGATGGGTAATTCTGTATCTCTTCCACTGATGAAGAAGTTCTCTGTCGCTTCTTGCTATAGCTATCTCTGTGTTACTTTTGCTCTCAAAGTCCTCCAGCAAGTGTTCAAACCCACAAGAAATTAACCCTACTGAAACATCTATTGTGGCTTCTGTTTTCCTATTTTCTTAACTAGACTGTGACTCTTAGCATTATTAACTTCATCATAAATTCTATAAGGTAATTGTGATGGTTTTAGTTTTGACTGTCAGCTTGTCACAATCTAGAATTGCCTGAGAAGAGTCTCAATGAGGTATCTTCTAAATCAGGTTGGCCTGTGGGCATGTATATAAGGGATTTTCTGGATTGTATTAATGATATGAGAAGAACCAGCCCACTGAGGAATCACTGTTCCCTGGGGAGGGATCCTGAATTGTGTTAGTTTAGAAATTTGGCTAAATATGAGTAGGCATGCATACACTCATTTCTGTTTGCTCTTGACTACAGATGTGATGCATTGCTTCAAGTTGCTGCCTTGACTTCCTAATGATCCTGAAATTATGAACTAAAATGAACCCTTCCTCCCTTATGTTGCTTCATGTCGGAGTATTTTATAACAGCAACCGCAATGAAATTAAAACAGAAATTCGTACCAGGTGTGGTATCCTCTTTGGTTCTCTGACATTGTTTCCCAGCCTTAGGCAATGCAATTTACTAAGGGACACTGGGGAGTGAAGGTGAGGATGTAATTATATTACTAGACCCAAGATAAATGATAAATGGGTGTTTATTGGGGAACAATTACACAGAAAAAATACAAAGAACCACCTGAGCGTTTCCATGCTCTTCCTACAGGATCCCCTGACCCAACAGAAAGAGGGCACCAAGGGAAGTCATGCCTCAAGCTCCCCTCTTTCTGCTTCCATCGGCCTGACGTCATGCCCAAAGTGTGTGACCACCATTTCAGGTCCACAGACCAGATGCCTACAGGGAAGACTAAACACTGGAACGAAGATGGCAAACTATTTCTAGATCAGATGTGTTAGGCACACACCTATCATCTAGCATTCTATACACTCTGTCCATCAGATTCTTCTTCAGAGCTTTTTAAGCCCAAATGCCTGAGTATATGTCAGATCTACTCAAACACTATCTTCAGGGGGCAGGCTGAGCAGCTACATGTTTTAAAGGCTCCACAAAAGCAGTGTCAGCAAGATAAAATGATAAGCTTGAGGTTGACCTGAACATAGTCATTGTGTGCTATAAAGTCCCTGTGTCTTAATGACAGAATACACAAGCAGGATGGTCTGAAATCTAGACCTTTGAGCCTAGTGGTCACATAGCCATGAACTCTTGAGACATAACTGATCAGTTAAATGGGGGGGAAAACCACACTTTTGTGGTCAGCCACTCACTAGCAGAGACCAGGGAGTATCCAGAGACCACTGTTAAACCCAATGACCATCTTCCCTGTTGCAACCCATGCTCATGAAGAAACAGCAGGCATGGTGAATGAAGAAGGTAAGCATTTGTCTGGTGTGGTAGTCAACAGAAAAGGTGTCTTTTGCAAGGCCAGGGTGTTTAACCAATTGATTCAAGCCTGGGAAGCTTGGAGAATGTCTAATTGACACATATAAATGTTTCTGCTTTGCAGGGGGTGGTGGGGGATTCTATAAAGTGCATTTCTCTGCACATCTGAATGTACTGTGAGTAAATTTGTAACTCTACTATGCGTTAAAACTTGGTGTACAAAACTTAAACTTTGGGCCATCGAGATTGTATAGTGAGTAAAATTACACATGCTGCTGAACCTCATGCCCCAAGTTCATCCCTGGGTCCCACAGGGTGAATGGAGAGAGAGAACTGACTCCTACAAGTTGTTTTCAGACCTGTACCCATGTGCTGAGATGCCCACACAAACACACAGCACACACACACTCTGCCTGATGTGATCAGCACACACACAGTAAAAATGAGGGGCTGGAGAGATAGCTCAGAGGCTAAGAGCACTGACTGCTCTTCCAGAGGTCCCGGGTTCAATTGCCAGCACCCACATAGCAGCTCACAACTGTCTGTAACTCCAAGATCTGACAGCCTCACACAAGCATGCATGCAGGCAAAACACTAATGCAAAAAATAAATAAATAAACAAATAAATAAATTTTAAAAGCCAGCTATTTGAAAGAACAACAAACTTGTTTTAAAGAGAAATAAATAAAATAATATTAATAATAATAATAATAATGTCATGTTTTTGGAGATCTTCATTTGTTTTTAATTCACTTTAGTTCTAAGTTCCTCCACTCTTCTTTTGCACTTGTAACGTCCAAAAATACCTGTGGCCACCTGGCATGAGTTGGCCACACTTCTTTAAGATTTCCATTGCTTTTCCATACTTTGGATATACGATGCCTTGAGACTGACAGGATGTTTATCTTACTTTGTGTTCTGTAAAATTCCTCTGTCTCCATCTGGATGTGTGTCATTAATTTTGAAAATCATTTAGCCATTCTCTGCAGTTTCACACACTTCCTTGTACAGATGCTTCCTCTTTTTCCCTCCAGTGAGGCAGATGTTAAGTCTTTTGGATTTGTCTCACAGCTCTTGACATTTCAGTTTGGAAAGTTGCCGCGGACTTAACCTCCAAGCTCCAAGCTTGTGTTCAACCTTCTGATTTGCCAGTTGAAGGCATTCTTCCTCTTTGGATTGGTCCTTCTATTGCTGGCACCTCATTCCAAGCCTTTCCATGTCTCTTCTTGCATCTGTGGGCCAACTAATCCCACAATGGCTTCCTGTGAATGCCAAGTTCAAGAATCCAGAAGTTAGCCAGGTGGTGGTGGCGCACACCTTTAATCCCAGCACTCAGGAGGCAGAGGCAGGTGGATCTCTGTGAGTTCGAGGCTGGACTGGACTGACAGCCTCCAAAACAATACAGAGAAACCCTGTCTTGTTAAAAAAAGAAAAAAGAAAAAAAAAAGAATCCAGAAGTTGTTTAGTCTATGAGGCTGGATGTCTCACTAGGTCTTCAGTAGATGCTGAAGTCTCCAAGAAGTAGGTTTTAATGCCAGTGAAGTAACTGACTTGCTAGCAAGGTAAGAGTAAGCAGACAAAGAGCAAAAGCTTCCTTCTTCCATGGTTTAATACAGGCTGCCAGCAGAAGGTGTGGCCCAGATTAAAGTAAGTCTTCCCATCTCAAGATTCAGATTAAATGTGGATCTTTCTACTTCAAATTAAGCAAAACTAATCCATCACTGGTGTGCCCTCCATTTTTAAATTTTAGATAATTCTAGATGTAGTCAAGTTGACAACCAAGAATAGGCATCACAGGAACAATTGTTCATAAAAAAAAAGAGCTTTACAATTTCTTATTCTTTTTTTTCCAGTACCACACAAAGAGCCAAAAACATAAACCCTTTTTTTTTTTTTTTAATCATTTTTTATTTTAATTTTAAATAGCTTGTTTCGCATGTCAATCCCAGTTCCCTCTCCCTCCCCTCCTCCCGCACTCCCCTTCCACCCTCCCTCCCACCCTATTGCCAAATCCCTCCACATAGGGGATGTCTAGAGTCTATCATTATTAGGAGTTCTGTGACCAACCAGGATTCTCTTTGGGAAGCAGCCCCTATGACAGAGAGTAAGCCTGCTGTTCATGGGAAATGCTTCCTGGAGTGGCATGTAGGAACAGGCATAACTTCAAGGCACACACGTGGGCAGAGGCATAGGATCCACACTTAAACTTGACCTACGGTTTGCTCAAAACATTTTGGAATTCTTAATTTGTGAGCAAGACTCTGCACTTACATTTTGCTCTGAAACTTAAAAACTAACGTCACCCAAGAGTGAGGAAAGAAACAGAATGGGGCCAGGAGAAAGGATACATAATGATGCAGTTATAAGAAAGGCCATAGTTGTCCCACAGGAGCTCCAGAATAGAATGGCCCTGAGAAGCTGTCTGAATTGCTTGGGCTGCAGGTCAGCATTCCCAACTGCCAGTCACTGGTTGCTAGGTAAATCCGAGAAGGGCATATTGGACAAGATGCTCTCTGAGGCCAAGGACAAGACAAGGACAGCTTTCTAACATTCTCAGTAGCTATTAATATGGGTACCTAGGGCCAGGAGAAGACACACGGCATCATACTCACAGCATCGCCTATAAACTCAGAGAGTATATAGTCTCCACTTATCCAATCAGTACCAAATGAAATAATACTCCTCATACCCCAACAGGTCCCTCTCCTGAATCAAAACCTTCCTCTTGGATAACTATCATCACAAATACACTATTTGCATGTTCAACATACACCAGCTTTCCTATCCTTGGCCCTGATGTATTCATAATCACTTCATAAAGGTTCATATTTTTCTGTTTCATCATCATTAATCTAGTCTGTCTGTGATACACACCAGCAATTTTTGTTGTTGCTTCTGTTTGCTGTAGAGTGTCACATTTGCCATTCCCGAGGATGCTTCTTCAGGGTGTGTCCAATTGTCAATGGTTATGAGAAAATTGTTAAGAACACGTTTGTGCTTTTCTGGTACCCATCTCTCTTGAAGATATATATGTATAACTCATATATGTACATATGGAGATATATCAAATATATGCATATTTGGTACATTATAGGGCAAACATGAGATAAGCTTTACTGGACATTTCCAGACTGTTTTCCAATTCACATTCCTACACATGTTCTATTTTAAGAAGATTCTGGCTGAATAGAAAAGTAACTCGGAACATCATCAAGTAACATAGAAAAAAATCCCCTTCAGTTCTCACATAGAACCTCAAAAAAAGGGGGGGAAGGAGCACGTGTGTTCAATGGCCCTGGAAAGGCTTATAAAATTGTTTCAGTTTTGTGCTAGTGAAAGATCCGGACAGAATATCACAAATACTCCCTAAACTTAACTGTCATCAGGCACACAGCCCAGGGCCCTGTCCTGTGTGTGGAACTCTGTTGAAGATTCAGGAAAACCAGAGCTCATTGGTTGGTGCTTTTAAGGTAACCTGTGCTGGCTGGTCTTACGTCAGCTTGACACACAAGCTAGAATTATCTGAAAGGAGGGAACCTCAACTGAGAAAATGTCCCTGTAAGATCTAGCTATAGGTCAGTTTCTTAATTAGTGATTGAAGGGGCAGGGCCTAGCCCCTTGTGAGTGGAGCTATCCCTGGGCTGCTAGTCCTGGGTTCTATAAGAAAGCAGGCTGAGCAAGCCATGGGGAGCAAGCCAGTAAGCAGCGCCCTCCATGGCCTCTGCATCAGCTCCTGCCTCCAGGTTCCTGCCCTGTGTGAGTTCCTGCCCTGACGTCCTTTTGGTGATGAATAAGAACATGGAAGTGGAAGCAGAATAAACCCTCTACTCCCCAACTTGCTTTTTGGTAATGCTGTTTCATTGCAGCAATGGAAACCCTAACTGAGACAATACCTGTAATAAAAATGTTTGGATTGAACTAATTCTCACAGTGAGTTCTGCCTTAAGCCAGCAGATGGAGGATGCCCTTCTGTTCTCTGGGTATGGATAAGTCGAGAGACAATTCTGAAGTCCCAATCCCACTGTTCCTAAGGAGACAGATGTCTTTTCCCTGAAAAGCCCTCTCAGGAGGTTTCCACACAGATCTAATAATGGGGGTGGGGTATGACAGGGCTTACAAATGATG